AGCTCAAGTGAGCCTATTAGAATGCCATTGTAGAGAAGTGCATACCATGTAGAAAGGCGGCACCCCCATTTTTCTGATGTTAGGAGTATAGCTTGAATTCCATTTTCTATGCACACACATTCTCTTGACCCTAGTGAATACCCCAAAAAGCAGTAGGAAAAAAACCCCAAAAAAAGGTTTTCTTGGGGGAAAATAAATTGAATTAATGTCAACCGTGTGTTAGACTAGATGTTAGATCGACAGTTAAATGTGCTCAAAATTAATTATACTTTTTTTTTTGAAGTTTTTCATCAAGCATTATTAGATCCATCCCCAAAATTTGGGGTTCAAACAATTTCAAAAGAATAGGTGGCATACTTAGGAGGTGGATTAAACTGAAACCTCTCTCTCTATGTGTGTGTGTGTGTGTGTATATGTGTAGTATGCATTCATGCATACATATGTACGTTCATATAGGCGGCTCCTTGATATGTGTGGTACATGGATATTATATATAATACATTCTAGGGGTTCTCCTAGATATGTGATCCGATGTGCTCTTGAGGTAGGGAACTTTAAGCAGTGAAAAGAGTGGCTATGTGGAACTCAAGTTATTAAATTCAAAAATTTTCTATTTCTTTTATACAATATACCTGAATTTTTCACTTACATGGGCCACTATATGTTGCTGTAAATTAAAATAATATCTTAGATACAACCTAGGATCCTTATTTTTACTGCCAAAAGAAATAGAAACTATTCAGGAGTTTTAAACAAACTTCCACTATAATTTTTAGTACAATAAATGTTCTTGAAAATTCACAGAAAATAAGAAATAAGATTGAAAATTAATTAAAACTACTAAGAAGACTTATTGGAAGATGCATAGAGTTACCCTCATAGGTCGTAGTATACCCCATACCCGATTCCCTGATCGATGACACACTTTTACTCCTTTAGGTGTTGCTGAAAATTCTGAGATAGTGAAGCTTTGTAGGCAATAATTATTTTTCTAGGGTTTTAGAGAGCAAAAAAATCAACTAGATTTTATAGAAATCTTATATGAACAAACTAGAGCTGAGCTTGTGAGGTGATCTCTCTCTAGGTTGGTTGTCACCTTTCTTTTCTTCAATACACAACAAGCTTCACTTAGGGTTTCGAAAGTCCCATCTTTCCTCCTTTTTTATTCTTTTGATAGGACTTACTCCAACATGAGGAGAGAGAGGGTGGCGTGATAGAAAATATGAGGAGAGAGGGTGGTGAGAGAGAGAATCTTATTGTGTTTAGAGATGGGGGTTCAAATCTTGTTTAAATAGAAACAAGATCAAAGTCCTACTTTGAATAGGATTCTAATCTAAGTATGCCTTATCTTAAACTCAACCATCTTTCCATCATCTATGGGTTGGTCATTGACATTTCTTTCCCCAAAATCCAACCCCTTACTTGGAATTGGATAATGGAGAGAAACATGGAACTTAGGAATATCAATTTTGTTTTAATCTTCCCTCTTTTTGTTTCCAACAATTGAGGGGTTTGATCATTGAACTCTTCATTGACCAAGGCCGCTAGAGGTTGGTTAGGAGCAAGATGAAAGTCACCTCCTTGACCATTGTTGCCTCCAACATCAGTCTCTAGACTCCTTCCACACCAATGCTTGCCAACTCCATGGATGAGTTCATCTATTGCTTTTACCAAAGATTGGATCGCTTAGTCAAATGAGAAATATCTTCTTGGGTTGCTGCGGTTTGAGCCTTCATAACCCACTCTGATACCACTTGATGCAAATTAGGGTTCTCGTTCTTCTCAAATCAACACCCTAATTCACAAAAACTCAATAAAGCAACAAGCCTTATGGAAGAAGAAGAGTGGAAAAGGAAAAAAACTAGCAAAAGCAATGAGGAATCTGCCTCCAAGTTTTATTAACTCAAAGTTCTCCAACAAAGGTAATAGATCTCTCCCTAGAACCGTTCAATAACAAATATTTAAGCAAACTCGAAACCCAAAAACGCTCCTATGAAATCCTTGCCATCCATTCTCTTTAATCCTAGACATCCATTACTGAATTAAATTAAATAACTAACCCTGCCCCTAACAAAATCAGAAATAACAACTAAAATAAAATAAAATAAAAACCTAAAACAAGTTCTCGTAATCCCCGCAATTAAGTTATGAAGAAAAATCCAAATGTGCCTGTCCTATTCTTGCATCACTTTCAAAGCACCCTCAAATATCTGTTCTTTATCATGAGGCCTTGCCAAAATGTTGGTTAGCGTAAATCCATACTCTCCATTAAATTCCAGTTGGTTTGGACTTTAATGAAATCAAAAGTTTTCCACAGGAGGCGGATGGGGCTTCACTAGACTCACTGGGACTTTGCAAAGCCCTTAAAAACTTGCCAACTCATGTAATGGTTTTCAAGTATATTTAAAACATCTTTTCCAATCATTCCTCCAAGTTTTGTTTGATTTGGATATCATTTGGTCCCAAAGGAAAAGTTCACCACAAGGCCTATATGCTTATCCATTAGACTTATTCAAATCTTTCTAGTCGTCATGAAATTCATTACACATCTTTATTTCATCATAATAAAGCTCTTTACCAAGACAATGTTTGAACTAAAGCAAAAGTTCACTGCATGACCTATATGTGTATGTACTAGGCCACGGTCGATCTTTGTTTACCCTTGGAAACTCATCCAACCTTCATTGTCATTTATAGATGACTTGAAATACCTTCATTAAGCATTCCCTTGAATTTGCGGGCATTTGGACCCCATCTAGTCCATCATTGTGAAGTGCTGTCAGGCTCTATTCATAAGCACTGTAGCTCGCGGTGAATTTCGAAGACTCATTAATGAACTCCAAATCTCATTTTTTGGAGGTTTATTTCATCATTTCAAGGTTATACCCGGAGTTTCAGCCTATTTGAAAGTCATTATCATAACTTTCTAAGTTCAGGAACGTGTGGTCATTCCTTGATTTCATAATTGACTTTGAATCTGTTAGAGAACACACCCAAACGCCCCCATGTCGGAAAAGGGCATGTACTATAGAGGCTGACCATATTAGCAGGCCTCGGGGACATATGGCTGAAGCGAAACACGAGGCACTTGACCAAAGATAATAACCATACAGGGTAAAGGAGATGCTCAGAGCATTGTATATAGATTGGGCAAGAGCCAGAAGAGATTCGGGGTCTTATTCTGTGGCAGATTATGAAAATCAATGGGGTAATATAGCACATCTAAGTGGCCTAAAAACAGCGAATCAGTGAAATGGAAGCTGCCATCAGAGGGTATAATGAAACTTAATTTTGCTGCCTTGACTACTTCTGGCATTGGGCATCTCAGATCTAGGAGGTATTATAAGAAACTATTAATGCAGAGGATGGGTAACTTATTCTGGTCCTTTGCAGTATAAGGAACGGCACAAGGCAGAGAGTGAGTGCTGCTAATTGGAATCAGGATTTTGGATGCTGAATGGAGATCAACAAACATTGTAGTAGTTTCCAGCATTGTTATCATGAATGAAGATCGACAAACATTGTAGTAGTTTCCACCATTGTTATCATGAATGAAGATCAACAAACATTGTAGTACTTTCCACGATTGTTATCAAATGGGCTGATCGAAAATAAAAATGCCGATGGTACCAGAGCAATGCATTTGAGGAAGTGTGGTGTTGATGTAGTAGTATGGCTATCTTCTCCAACATATTAGGGAGAGAATCCAATCAAGAGGTGCACTTTTTGGCGGGGAAAGGTGAAGCCAAATAGGTGCTAGTGGGAACAAGTTTCAATGTATAGTAGCTATAGCGTCAGAGTCGTATGTACATTGTCTCAGTTTTGTACATAAAATGTCTTTTGTATATCATATATAGGAGAATTAATGAAAGCTAGTTATTTATCAAAAAAGAGTAGTTTTTGTTGAAGAACTCTTGGAGTGGCTGTAGGTTTCTGGTCAGCCTTGTGAAATCTCTGGAGAGCAATACAGGCTTATTTATCAAAAGAGTAGTTTTTCTTGAAGAGTGGCTGTAGGTTTCTGGTCAGCCTTGTGAAATCTCTGGAGAGCAATGCAGGTTTACTTAACACACATCATATTAAGTACAAGTAGTATTAATGCCCAAAAAATTTGATTGGGCCAAGCATCTTCTTCTAAAATTTATGCTGAATTGTCCTTGAAGGCCACCATTTTCGGATGATCTTGCTTAGCAAGAACCATCTCATCCAACAAGAAGCGAATCATGAAACCAGAAAGTAATCATGTTCAGTGAGAGACGGGCTATATCAAAGAAAATACCACCCCACCACCGCAGAAAATAAGTATTTACAGTCGGGCACTGGCCAGAGCTAAATGCTCTGGCAGCAATCAGTGAACAGAGAATTGTGAGTGGGGGGGCAAAGAGTAGATCAAATTATTGTAACTTATACGGTCTGGTGTTACTCGGTCTTCATAACTATCCAAGATGGACTTCTATACAGCAATTTGCATTATAATGTGATGTGCCTTTGGCAGCCTGTAGCAAATGCAGTTTTCAACATTGTGTCAGTGTTACTTTTCACCATTGCTTCTGAGATGTTAACCTCTTTTGTTGCTTCATTTCCTGTGAATTCACTAAAACCTCGCATGAAATCTACAAAGTTCTTTGATCTTTCTTTGTAATAATTGAATGCTAATAAATGCAATAATGTGACAGTCAATTTTCTCTAGAAAAGACAATGAAATGATGGGATGTGACTACGTAATAGGGGAAGGCAGACCATAATGTTATACAGTGTATTCTAATGGGCATCAGCATCTTGTTCAAATGATGAAGAATGGAGATTATGCATAGCATTGGGAAATTCACGCTGATACAGTTAATCTCCATCATCTGTCATCAAGAACAGACAGTAGATGCCCCTTTGGAGTACTTTGTACCATACTCCGTTTGGTTATGGTGTACTTTTCCAAGCATGGACCAACGATTATTACTTGTTTTTCTGGTTTGATAAACTTAATTTCTTCTTGTTTTTTTTATTAGGCACAGAATTCATCAAATTACCTTGCCAACACTTTTTCTGCTGCAAATGCATGGGGACATACTCAAACATGCATGTGAATGAAGGGACAGTGAACAAGTTACTCTGCCCTGATCCAAAATGTGGAGGTCTTGTCCCTCCTGGACTATTGAAGCTTATGTTAGGGGAGGAGGCATTTGAAAGATGGGAGTCTTTGTTGCTACAGAAGACTTTAGATTCCATGGCTGATATAGTGTATTGCCCAAGATGTGAAACTGCTTGCTTAGAAGATGAGGAAAACCATGCCCAATGTGCAAAGTGCTTCTTCAGCTTTTGCACTCTTTGTAGGGAACGGCGTCATGTTGGAGTAACCTGCATGAGTCCAGAAGATAAGCTTCGCATTTTGCAGGTTTGCTACTTGAGATGGCCCTTGATTTTATCTAGCTTTTTGTTTTGGTTCCTTTTTATTTATGTAGGTTCACTCTTTATTTGTTTACAAAATGGTTCTTATCTCACTGTAGAGGATTTGGTAGGTGGTGCTTAACTCTCTAGATGCTATAGAACAAACAATGAGAATAGGTCTCCTTCAAGAAATTTTTTGAAATGAAAATTGACTTGCCAAAAAGTTCGAAGGTTGTGATATCTGGAAATGATTACAATCATCATCATCCGAGCCTTATGCCAAGTATTTGGGGTTGGCTAAACGAATCCTGTTCCGCCATTCCGCGTTATCAAGGGCCATATTCTCTGTCAGACTGTAAGTCGCTATATCTTTTCTCACTACTTCCATTCATATCATTTTGGGCCTTGTCGTTGCCTATTTAGAGCCTTCCACTTGAATCAAATCACCCTCCTAACTGGTATTGTTCTAGGTCGATGCTGCACATGACCAGACGAACTAAGTCTATTTTCCTTCATTTTATCGACTATTGGAGCTACCCCTAAGTTCCTTCAAATGTATTTATACTGAATTCTATTATTGCCTTGCCACTCATCCATCTCAACGTCCTCATCTTAGATGCATTCATTCTGTGGATATGTTGTTTCTTGACAGCCCAACCTTTGGTGCCATAAAGTATGGGTGGTCTTATAGCTGTCTTATAGAACTTCCCCTTCAGTTTCATTAGTATGCGTCGATCACATAAGACCTATAAATGAGTACAATACTTGGATAAAAAGGAATTTTTATTGAGAATTAATTTCATTAAGAATCCGAAATGTCACATTTACCAATTTTACTTTTATTTTGATGCTCTTTTGCTTTTTCTCTTCTTTTTTTTACTTCTGAAAAACTGATATTCTTTTGGGAAATTATAAAAAATATCCCTTTTTTTTAGATTATTAGAAATAAACCCCAAAATTTTCAAAACCTAGTTCATACCTTTTTTCGACACTATGTTTTTTGACGAAAATACCCTTCACAATAGTTTTAGGTCCATGAAGCCATTACGGTTAACCCTGTGATGGTCATAGTGGGTTCTAAGTGACTTTGTATTGGATTTAAGGCCAAAAATTGTGTTTGAAGCTTCACAGCACTTAAAGCACTTTGGTGGGTTGTTTAACTATCACGATTCTATTTGAACCGTGATGGTATCACGGTGGTGCGAGATACTTGATAGTCAAGATGATCATCACGTTTATTTGAGTACCGTGATGGTGCTAATGCTACCCCATTGTCATGGTCCTAATAGAACCGTGATGACTTAAGCCCCACACCAACAACGTTTGAACCCTCCAGACCATCACGGTTCGGGGTTAACTATGATGCCTTCACAAACCGAACACTTTTGTAATGGGTATTTTAGTCAAAAAATGCGAAAAGTGGTGAAAAGGGGTATGGATGAGGTTTTGAAAATTTTGGGATTTATTTCTAATAACCTAAAGGAGGGATATTTTTTATAATTTCCCTTTTCTTTTTGGTTGGGTCATTGACTTGTATAAAAAGCTCATATAGCTTAAGCAAAAATATCATAGCTATCACTTGTATGCGGTTTCTAGTTTACTCAGCTTTCTGTATTTGCTTTTTTATTGCCCTTCTTTGTAGTTTAAAGCAACAACCACAACTAACTGATAAAACTCACAAAATTTGAACTCCACAATAGCTATGAATTTGGAGCATCTGTTGGTGATAAATGTTTATCATCCCTTATTGGTGGTAGCTATATTGTTTTGATTTACTGAAGGGTGTGGTTTGTATAGAGCCTAGGCTCGAAACGATCAAATTAGAGCCTGCCTTCAAATAGTGTCGAGAAATGTAGTTTCAATATTGGAAATCTTTGTGATAGCCTTAAAATATATTTTTATATTTATTTATAAAATTTAAAGTTTAAAAAATAGTGCAGATCGACAGATCTTTGAAAAGTTGAAAATCTTGAAAATTGACGGTCCAAAAATGCATTACAAAATACACTATTTCCAAAACTTGAAATCCATTTTTTTCTCATGTCCATACTTCTTGATGTCAAGATGATCAATTTGAAGATATTTGGGCATCAAAACCACCTCTTCTAGTGAAATTTTTGAGGTAGGCTCAAAATTGATTGTTTAGAGCCTCGGCTCTATATAAACTTTTCCCTTTACTTAAAGATGGTGTATAGTTTTTGAGGCAAAAAAGTTCTTGTATTGTAAGGTATCGAAGTGAAAGGATTATCATTATTGGCTTCCACTGACCAGGGACGGATCTGATCCATTTAGAAAAGTTCTGAGTTTTGCTTAAGATCATATACGAGGGACCTTTAGGGAGTTTCATGAAATCCTTCAGTCTTTCCATGGACCTTAGAGAAAAATTACAATGCATGTATAGATGTGTATTTTATACATACATTCATGCATAAATAGATGCATACATATGGGTTTGTGTATAGATATCAATGTCATATTAAAAATCATTTTCTCCTGACCTCCAAAATTTTCCAAGAAAATACTTACCAAGTTTTCTTTCTAGGAGCGTCAAAATTTATCCCACCTAAAGCCCAACCAGAGGCACAAGGAGCTCGAATTGATCAATGACATTCTGAGTGTTACTAAGATACTCACTGATGCAAAACAATGTCCATCATGCAAGATGGCAATATCAAGAGTAGAAGGATGCAATAAGATGGTGTGTCAAAATTGTGGGCAACTTTTCTGTTACGCATGTAACACAGCGATTGATGGATATGGCCACTTTAGGTGAGTTCTGTGTAGAAGAAAGGGGAAAGTATACATTGCCCAATGGTATATGGAAAGCTATTGTTCAGTTCATTTGGGTCAACACTGTCCAGTGAAATGGACAGTGATGGAGAGAATGGGACCTAGCATAAGTGATGCTAATGATGGTCCAATTTTTTCTCCATCACATGATTTCATCAGATGGTGATGACCCCAAGGAAAATCAAAGTCCATGGGATTTTAGTATTACAATCTGAAAGTAGTTATGGTCTTTTACTCTGGTGGGTTACTTAAATTGTATGCAATGTAGTGAAGGAACATGTACCCTTTTCCCGGAACAAGAAATTCAAAATTGGGAGCTCCAGATGAATCATGACCAAGTGAATGAACAGGGTGGAGATGTACCGTTGCCTCATCGTACCCGTCCATGTCCAAATTGTGGTCAAGTGAATGCAAAGGTGAGTTGAACTTAGCAGATGTTGCACTTTTTATTTATTCATTATTTAATATCCTTTTTTCTTAATCTAATATCCTTAAAAATTTTTAGATGTTTGATTTCTAATATCCTTTTTTTCTTAATCTAATACCGTTACAAAATTTCAGATGTTTGATTTCTATTAGCAATAACTTCCTTTTTGCCGATTTATATTCTAGGCTGTATTTAGTATCTGGGTTCACTGGACCAGCACATGCACATGCACATGCACAGACAGCCATAGATCCACATGTCAAAGTATCAGTGTCTTGAAAAAGTTTAAAGGAAGTATCTGTTTGGAAAAAAAACTTTTCAAGTATGTATTTGTCAAAAAATTGTTTTTAGTGTTCCCAAATGCATTTATCTCATTATGGTGGGTAACTTCAGGCCCACATACATTCATCCTGAATCTAAATATGCATGCGTATGTGATGTGTCTATGAGGGCATGCATGTGTATATATATATATATATATATATATAGTAGTGATCCTATGAGACCCTCCCACACTCACGTGTGTAGGACCCCAAAGGATCACCATTAAATTTGGTATAGATCTCTAGAAGACAACTGTTCCAGATATTGCAAATAGATATAGAATCTTCTGATGACTCATCTGCTTCTGACTCAGATCAGCTTGCTGGAAAAATAGAGGACAAAAATGTAATACTGAGTAGTTTAGATTCAGAAGATAGTAATACTGATTGTTTTTGTGAGACACTTTCCAAAGAAGAAAATCTAATATTAGATATAATAGACAAAATAACTGAGCCTGAAGCTAAAAGAGAAGCTTTAATACAATATATCAATATAGCAAAAACAAATAAAAAACCTCTTCCTCTTGTTTGAACTCAGGAAGATTATAATTTTGCTAAGATTCTAAAAAGAGTTGAAGACAAGAATAGTGTTCAGAAAGAACCATCTATAGCTGAAGTAAAACAAGAAATAAATGAAGTACGGAATGAACTAATAAGTTTAAAAAATAGGATACAGGTGTTAGAATTAGCCTCTAACTCCCAAGATAATAGTTCTAACCATACTGATGAAGAAATAGAATATGATAATCTTATAAATAAACATAAAACACCTTTTCCAATCAAACAGGAAGAACCATAATCTTTCAGTATAATACAACCTGATAATTATGTAAACTTACTTGATAAAGTTATTACTCAGAAGTGGTTTACATTAGTAAAAATAATAGTCCATAAAGAATATAACTTCCAAACCTTAGCCTTAACAGATTCAGGGGCTGACCTAAACTGCATAAATGAAGGATTAGTTCCTACAAAATACTTCGGTAAAACGACTCAAATACTAAGTACAGTTGATGGTAGCAGATTAGTTGTAAATTATAAACTTTCGAATACTGCAGTTTGTAATAATGGGAATTGCTTTGAAATGCCTTTTATAATGGTAAAAGGGCTAAGTCAATCTGCTATACTTGGAACTCCATTTCTACATATGCTATATCCTTTAAAAATTGATAGCTCAGGGATTGAATCTACAATAGAAGGACATAGAGTAAAATTCGAATTTGTTGATAAGCCTAAAATTCAAGAAGTAAATAATATAAAAGAAATTATTTCTAATAAAGAAAAATTCCTTTATCACTTGGAGGAAGAAATAAAATATAAAGTAGTTGAGGAAAAATTGTTAAATCCAGAAAATAAAAGGATAATTGAAACTATCAAAAGTAAAATAGAAAAAGAGATATGTGCCGAATTGCCTAATGCTTTTTGGAATAGAAAAAAACATATTGTAACTATTCCTTATGAGGTAGATTTTCATGAAGAAAAAATACCCACTAAGGCAAGACCTATACAGATGAATCCTCGACTCTTAGAAATATGCAAGAAAGAAATTGATGATTTATTGCAGAAACAGCTGATTAGAAAAAGTTCTTCTCCATGGACTTGCTCTGCATTCTGTGTAGAAAAGGCCTCTGAGAAAGAAAGGGGGGGCTCCTCGCTTGGTAATAAGTTATAAACCCCTCAATAAAGTCCTTAAATGGATCAGATATCCCATACATAATAAAAAAGATTTACTTGATAGATTATTCAATGCTTGTATCTTTTCAAAATTTGACTTAAAATCTGGATATTGGCAGATTCAGATTGCTGAGCAAGATAAATACAAAACTGCCTTTAATATTCCATTCGGACAATATGAATGGAATGTTATGCCATTTGGGCTAAAAAATGGTCCTTCTGAATTTCAAAATATTATGAATGATATTTTCACCTTGCAATAGGAAAAAGACATTAGAAGACAACTGTTCTAGATATTGCAAATAGATATAGAATCTTCTGATGACTCATCTGCTTCTGACTCATATCAGCTTGTTGGAGAAATAGAGGACGAAAATCTAATACTGAGTAGTTCAGATTCAGAAGATAGTAATACTGATTGTTTTTGTAATACACTTTCCAAAGAAGAAAATCTAATATTAGATATAATAGACAAAATAACTGAGCCTGAAGCTAAAAGAGAAGCTTTCATACAATATATCAATATTGAAAAAACAAATAAAAAACCTCTTCCTCTTGTTCGAACTCAGGAAGATGTACAAACCCTCTAAATTTTAGGTCATTCCGATTTGTAGAAAAAAAATGAAAAATAAAATACTACTGAACAATCGTGAACGCGTGATGAATTTGGACAGTGATGAAGGTAGGCGAAATCACTATTCATTTTCGCCTATAGGTGTTGGAAAGACTTTTCATGTATGTATATATATATATATATATATATATATATATAATGCTGAGATTAGCCCACGTAGTCTTATATAGAATATATGTATTCATATGAGCCCAA